GATTTAGGATAACCTTGTACACAATGGCGAAAGCGATTGGGTCATGTTTTGCGAACGAGTCACCTGAATTGCTCCGAGCGAATATTGTGAAACTGCACTGTTTGTCACGTTTTACTTTACGGTTACGAAGCCAGCTTCTCTGTGTTCTCTGCTAAGTTCTGTATTGTACGATCGATATCCCCAAAGTATTGCTGTATTTCGGTGAAAACATCGAGTGACTAACACCCAGCTTCGTCGTCGTGTGTCGGGTGCTGATAGTGGTTAGTGAACCGGGATCTTTACAATGCTCGNNNNATGCTCGATGACTGGGATACATGTTTCGCTTATGACCGTTCGTTGCCTACATTTCTATGTGCATGCTGGCCAAGACCGACCGAGGTAACGTTTCAGTGAAAGTAAAACTTCTGTCAGTGCTCGGAAGGATTTCGGTTCTACTGGTGCTTCTCACTGTCCTGCTTGGAGTCTGACAGATGTGGTTAGGACATGATGAGAGACAAAGCCTGTTTGATGAACTCCGATTCGTCTCAAAATAAGCTATAAAATGGAGAAAAAACACATTACCACTTGTATCGTGAAGTCACGAGTGCAATGCTTTTCTCTTTCCGGAGCACTTTCTTCCATTAATACCTTATCGCTGATGCACTTGTGAGGTGCAGCAATAATCTTTTCAGCACCAGGGTTAAACACAGCTTTCATCTTTGACGGTGCATCATATTCATTGACGAATTGATCGAACCGTAAATATGCGCTTACAGTCATCAAGTGCTGGTACATAGACAAAACTCGGGAGTCATGAATGAAGTGGATCTCATTGAAGATGCTCTCAATGTTCAGTGGATTGATCTTATATTCATCGACGACCAATAACAAAACATCGGTGACAACCTGTCGATCCTCTTGAAAAGCCTCTCTCCAGTTGTAAATCGTTGATGATAGAAGCGATAACAAGGTGACCAGATTATTTATGATATATGTATGTGTACGTGAGAGAGGGATCGTACGTGAGTAATCGTTCGCCCGACGGTTGAAGTGAGTGACATAGCTTGCCGTCAGAACATGTGAACCGATCACTTGTCAATGGTCGAGAGAGCGTTGTTTTTGTTACGACTTCTCAACCCCGACCTTTTCGAATATCCAGGCTATTGAAATCAGCCGCATTTCGCTCGCACATTGCATGAACTGTGTTTAATCTGTTCCCGAATTATCATATCCTTCGGGATGTTTTGTGTCAGGTGCCGGTATTCAGTCACTCGTCTGTCTAGACTGATAGGTTTTAAGCCGATATACGTCACGAGACATTTGGAAAAACGTATTCTGCCGATCAATTTCGGAAAGTGTCCTTTTTATGTTTTCGAACGATATTGCAATCATGACAGTGAACAACCAGTCAAGCGGACGGCTCTTGGGCAATGCAAGTGATAGATAGACGTTTCAACGTGACACATATCAAGATGTCAATTACACGGAAATACAACACAGTCCAAACGGTCTCCATCCCACCGGTTACTGACAAGAGCGTCTCGTCATTAGCGTCGTCTCTAATTACTTCATTCACTGTCGCTTTCTTTCGCCCAGAATAAACTGCAAACATATAACAGTGCTTTCCTTCGTACCTCACAGAGATCGCTCACTTTGTCGTCCTGTTTGACTGGAGTTTCAGGCCAGTGACATGTTCGTCCTATTAGTGCGGGCAACATACGTTCCGATCTAACCTTGAACCGGCGAATTGCTTCAAACTAAGAATTTCATTGCAACTGAAATTCCTTAGCATTTCTCAGGTCGTGTCTAATACAATATTGAAATCAAATGAAAAAGAAACACGCCGTTAGATTAGACTGGGCGATAAACAACAACTGAGAGTGTCACGGGCATCCAATGACGCCCTCCCCCAGAAGATTATTGTCATAACAATCAATATCATGGATTACGTGCACTTTCTCCCTCTCTCCAGTTAACCATTGCGTAATGCATGAATCACTGGAATACAATACAGGTTCACGGGTCATTAATAATAACGACAGCCGACGAAATCTATCTAGTCTTACGTGTCTTTGTGACGAGAAGATAAGCCGTAAGTTTTCGCATTGCTTTCACTGGGAGTTGAAATGCATGGTTGTAATCCATCAATACGCTCCTTCTCAAAAACGACAGTATTGACCGAAATTTAAAGAATTATTCCAACGTTCACACTTTCGAGCAGAATATTTTTATAAGCTAATGGAAACGATCGTCTTTAGACTGAAGGAACCGAACTTATATTCTAACAACATCCCATTGGATGCTGAAATGCTTCAAAAGCCTTACCCGCTTCACTGACTGCTGTTTATGCATCTGATGTCTGTCTATTCTACGTGGAAAATTTCACCTAACTACCTCAGTCGACGCAGGAGAGTAAATAGACAGTCTACTTAGATTTCTCCAAAGCTTTTGACAGGGTTAACCACCGTATATTGTTACGAAAACTCCATAATTACGGTGTCTGAGGACTGCTACTGGATTGGATTGAGAAATTTCTTCGACAACATACCGTATCGGTATGAGTTAATGGTTCTCTGTCTGGACCGATAGAGGCTATCCGTGGAGTTCCACAAGGATCCGTACTCGGTCCGTACCTTTTCTTAGCATTCATAAACGATCTAGCACATGTCATTGGCTGTCCTTGTCCAAAACATAGAGGACGGTAAAATGTCCTGAAGATTATGAAACCTTGCAGGAAACTCTCAACGCAGCTTATCGATGGTCCATCATTAATGACATCGAATTGAACGTTAAAAAATCCAAGATTGTATCGCTGCCATTGCCGCGTTCTCCAAACGAAAAGGACCTGGGAGTTATCGTTTGTGAGAAACTAGGATGTTCCACACATTGCACAAAAGCGTCTTCAAAGGCTATAAAACACGTTGGATTGCTAAATCGTGTTTTTGGATCATTCGAAACAGACCTATTGCCCGCTTTATTGTAAGTATACATTATACCACACACCGAGTATGCTATACAGACTCGGAATCCATGGCTGAATCGCGACCAAAAGGCACTCGAATATCCGCAGAGAACAAAGATCAAAATGGCCAAAGGGTTACAATCTAAGACCTACGGTGAACATCTGTGAATTCTCGGACTCTTTTCGCCTGAATACCGTCGAATATGGAGAGACACGATCTTAGTTTATCAAATACTACATCAACCTAACCACCTATGTAGTACTCTACTAACACTATCCACTAATGACTGCGAGCGTCATTCTTTCAGCCTCAGAGTTTCTAACACCTGGAACTCTCTTCTACCTCAAGTTATTTGTGCACGAACTATCGATTCGTTCGAGTCACGACTGGATGAAGCATTGAACCACCTAACGTTTCAGTACCCGTGAGTGAACGTCAGAATTTTCTATTCAATTGTACTGCCAACCGAACCCAGTGTGTACAGACCCTATGAGATTCAATAAGCATTAGCTTTGTAATTCAACCATAAGAAAAATTTGAATTCAAATGCATTTGGATGATTATAGACTAAACTTTGAGTTCTAGCTCCTTTTCGATCACTCCTTCGTGATCTGTATTGGTTGCCTGGATAAAAATCACTTAATCTACTAGCACTTGCATACACGCACTCAGAAATATAGTGCCCTTCTACACCCAACTTTGCTTTCGGTTCTCGTTCTTGATTGGTTCGTAACTGACCATAATCACGTAATCGATACGGTCAGGAAGCTCAACTTCTATTGAACGGATTTTTGCTCATACTGCATTGATTTGCTTGAATTCAGTAGGTCTTAAGGTTCAGTATCTACGTTCTCTCTTTTTTCGGGATGCGATATTGTGTCACAAGCAGCATCACTGGATCCATCTGGGAATCGCAACTGAACCCTCGTGGGGTATGTATGCATATATGTAATTTTTTATGTATTTCACTCCAGACTGTTTGTGAAACAAACCATGGCACAATAATCTTTGTAAAAAGGGAGAAAG